CCCCCGCTTGGTCCGCTACTCAGCTAGCTATTGCCCGCTAAGCTAGCTAGTCAGCCGGCTAGCTAGCTAGCTGGCTAGCTAGCTGGCTGGCTAGCTAGCTAGCTAGCTGGCTAGCTAACTAGCTGGCTAGCTGCTGGATGTCTAATTGTCTAGCTAGCTGGTGGCTGTCTGGCCAGCGAGCTTGCTTACCAACCTGGAGCCAGCTATCTAACTAGCTAGCTAGCTAGTTGCATATCCCTCTAGCTAGCTAGCTATGTAGCTAGCTAGCTACCTATGCAACTAGCAATATGGCTAGCTGGCTAGCTAGCTAGCTAGCTAGGAACGCAGAGGTGCGGCGCGCAAGAGACCAATGGTCCATTCCCCTTTCCCTGTCTCTTTTATCTTTTTTTAATTGTCTTGTTTTTTTGTTTCTTTTTTGTTTTTTTGTTTCTTTTCTTTTCTTTTAATTCTCTTTTTATCTTTTTGTTTTTTGTCTCTTCAGCTCTTTTCAGGTGTATCTACATGGCAAAGGCAGCAGCAAAAGTGAAAAAGCTAGTTTGCTGCAGTTAGCTGCTGCAGCAGCAGCAGCACAGCTGCAGCAGCAAAAGCCCAAAAGCTGTTTTGGTGCAGTCTGCTGCAGCAGCAGCAGCACTGCCGCAGCAGACCCTCTAGTGTCTTTCTTTTCGTTTCTTTTTATTTCTTTTTTAGTTCTTTTTTGTTTCTTTTTTAATTCATTTTTATTTCTTTTTATGTTCTTTTCTTTTTAAATTTCTTACTCTCTTTATTTTTCTTCTGTCGTTCAGCAGCAGGCTCAGTCTGTTTTTATTTATTTCTTTTTCCTTTTTAAATCCTTTTACTTCCTGTTATGTATTTGCTTCTATTTTGCTTCTTTTAGTTCTTTCTTTTTTGTCTGTTTGCTGCTGCTGCTGCTGCTACTGCTGCTGCTGCTGCTGCTGCCTGCTGTTTCTACCTACCTATCTGATTTGCTGCCACAGCTATTTCAATACATTCTAAAGTCTAGATATGAATCTTTAAAATCTGCGAGCTCGCAGCAAAAAAGAGGGTTTAGGGTTTAGGGTTTAGGGTCTACCAGAGGCTCCAGCCGCTGCTAGCTGGCTCTGCAGCAGCAGCAGGCTCACCGTCTGCTGCTGCTGCTGCTGCTTCCTCTGCTGCTGCAGGTTCTGCTGCTGCAGTGCCGCCGCCAAACCAAGAAAAGAATCCGCCAGAGCTCTCCGCAGGAGCTTCTGCTGCTGCTGCTGCTGCTGCTTCGGGCTCTGCAGGCACACGCACAGCAGCAGGTCACAAGATGCTCACCAAAAACAGCAGCAGCAGCAGCAGCAGCAGCAGCAAAGCAGACAAGCAGCCGCCCATCTACTAGGAGGGATGCAAAAGGCTAGGATGCAAGCTGCAGCAGCAGCAGTAGCAGCACCAGCACCAGCAGCACCAGCAGCAGCAACAGCAGCACTAGCACTCTGCATCAGCAGCAGCAGCAGCAGCAGCAGCAGCAGCAGCAGCATAGTGCACAGCTTACCATCCGCCGGCGGAGGAGGGGCTGGGGCCTTTGCCTTGGGCGCAGCAGCCTTTGCCTTGGCAGCAGCTTTTGGTGGGGCTGCTTTTGCTGCTGCTGCAGTTGCTGCAGGTGCAGCAGCAGCAGCAGCAGCAGCCTTCTTCTCTGCTGCCTTCTGGGCGTCCTCTGCTTTCTTTGCTGCTGCTTTTGCTTCGCTTAGCTCCTTCTGCAGCGCTGCGAGTTGCTGCTGCGTCTGCTGCAGCTGCTGCTCCGCAGTGGCTGCTGCTTGCTGCTTCTCCTCGGCTATAGCAGCAGCAGCTGCTGCTGCTGCTGCTGCTTCGTCGCCTTTGCTGCGCTGCTCCTTCTCCATTGCCACTGCAGCATTAAACTTCTTCACAAGTTCATTATGTTTAGTTGCTAAATCTGCATATTTTTGTTTAGCACTTTCTATCATGTTGCTTTTCGTCTCCAGTTCCTTTTGCTGCTGCTGCTGCTGCTGCTGCGCCTCCCGCTGCTGCTGCTGCAGCTGCTGCTGCGCCTCTCGCAGCTGCTGCTGCACCGACCCCAGCTCCTCCTGCAGCTTCGAGGCCTCAGCCCGAGCAGCATCCAGTGCCTTGTTTTGTTCCTCTTCCTTTTCTTGCTGCTGCTTCTGCTGTTGCTGCTGCTCCTGCTGCTGCTGCT